ACAACAACATAGACATAGCGCAGCGAATTAAAATACAGCGGCTCCGCTGGCTTGGCCATGTCGTGCGAATGGCTTGGGGAATACTATAATTTATTGCGGTATAATTCTCAAGGAAAAAAATTTTATATATTTTTCTCTTTAATTTTTAACTTTCTTATTTTGAGTATATATTACTAACTGTTTCTTCCCGGATTATTTTCTTGGCTTTTGATGCTGAATTAATTTACAAAACATGCGCGCGACGCGACTGCTTATTATTTATGAACTTTTTATGCTGATGAGCTGAGCGAGCGTATTCGCAAGTTGTTGCGCTAAAATTTTGCATAAAAGAATACTAAAACATAAAAGCAGAAAAAAAATACTAGCTGACCTAAGCGTCCAACTGAAAGCCTAGCACCCGGCGGGGACCTACCTAAGAACTTGGCTGACACAGTGACTAATTACCTATTGGCATTGGTGAGTGTGTGCGTATAGCAGACGTACTTACAAAAATGCTAAAGCTAGCTGCTGCGCAAACGAATGCAAATTGGCGCTTTATAGATGGCCAGTAGTTAGTCATGACGAGTTCGATTCAGTTTGTACATATATACATATATGTATGTTGTTGCCTTGTTGGCTAGCAGCTAGCTCATTGTTGTAACGCTTGAGACAATTGCAAATCGGTGAATTTGTTGAATCTCTGATTCTGTATGAGCTTACAAACATACATACATACCCTATGGGGAAAATCTGCAGTTCTGAACTGGTGTGCTTCTAGTACATTTAGACCCAGTACTGGTTCGCGATAAATCTCTTTTGCATGCAAACAACTGGCGAAATTAATATGGCGATGTCCAAGCAGTGTCAGTTGCTGCATCCCTTTTTCGATAGTTCCGAACCAGTTCTAAATAGTTTTTCAAAAGTATTGCATTTCTCTGATTTTGGACTGGTGGCGATCTAGTTACTATCGGACTGGTTCGTTTTTTGGCGATAAAGATCTAGTATGGAACTAGAAATTTGAATCACTAGTCCGCGGTTTTCCTGCAGGGTACAAACGTACTTACATACATATATGCAATCGTTGTATCGACATTTTGTGCTTGAGAATGGTGGCAGGTAAACGGTGTAGCTATTGTCGATTGATGTTTTACTACAAGCGGCTGAGGAAACTAACTTTAGTTATGGGTTGTATCGACGAGGCAATGCCACCGCAACGTTGAAGAGCAACTCATAGCTGTGTGACTTACAATGACGAATGTTGAGCAAATCAAACTGATAGTTTACGCTACAGCATAACTAACTGACAGTTTCAAAGGTCAAGTGAGTTCAGCGTAGCAGCAATCACAACAACAATTATGGGGAGAAAATGCAAAATACAGCGAAATATTTAAACACACTCTTGAAAACAATTCTACTGTTGCCATACAAACAAGTCCTGGAAGTCATGTACCTATACACTTGCATTTCAATATGTATCGTGGAGTGGTTAGTAGTGGCACTAAGGATCGATTTTTTTTTAAGAAAAAAGTATAAAAACTGCAGCTTAAAAACATTACTGAGAGCTCAGTTTTAACGCTGGAGCAAAGTAGGTGCTCCAAGTCCAGTGTATCTTGTTGAAATTCAATTTCTCATCTAACCCTTCGCATTCAGAAGAGTTTGTGATCTACCCGAACGTGGCTTTCAAAAATTTTTGTTTAAGGAAATGGTGTTATTTTGAGTGTACTGTAATCCAAGCTGTTGCTGCAGTAATTTCTTTTCCTTTTTTTGCTTTGGTTTAGTTCTTCTCATCGAGTGGAGCAGTTCTTTTCCTCGCTGTCACAATTAAGCAAAAAAATCAACAGTAACCATGAATACTTATATTGCACAGAACCGCAAAAACAAACTGCAATACTTTCAACAGAAACAAAAAAAAAACAACAACAACAAAATTGAACCTTTAACAACCAACGGCAACAAAAAATTTCCCCCATTTTTCGTTACACACAGCCACACAAACACCGCTAAACCACAAAAATGCTCATATTTTAAAGCAGAAAATTGTTTTGAACTGCAACTGACAGCCACATTTGTCAGTTATAGCTAACCACATTCGGTTCAGCCACAACGAGTAAAATCTGAACAAACCAAAGCGCAAAGCAATGCAAAAGGTAAACCAAGCCAAGCCAAACCAAACAAAACTCAACCCAAACAGCCACAGTAACATAAAAAAAACAAAAAAAACAAAAAATTAAAAATACTGGTATACATCAAAATATAAAAATGCAGCCAAAATATGTACGTATGTATGTAAATGCGTCCAAAAAACTTTGCGCTGCCTCCCGTGCAATGCAACAAACAAAAAAAATACTAGTTATAATAATAAATATGAAAGTTTAAAAAATAAATCCGCTGAAATATTGCGCCTGTTAACCAACCACAAATGTACGTTAAACGCGCACCACACACACTCTGTCGACCGGCAACAAGCGCGTCGATGCCACAGATTTTTGGCGGTCGCATTGCAAGCGAAATATTGCTGCAATATATTTTTAAGTGCATTTCCATTTTTACTGTTTTTTTCATACGCGTAAAATTTAAAATGGCGCATTTAAAAAAGCAATGATTTTTTTTTGCCAGATTTCCGCCATTGGCAAGTTTAACAAAAAAAAAAAATGGCGGTGAGGTTGGGAAAGGCTGTTTTTTGCACTTTTGATTTAGGCCTTAGTGAATCTTCATTGCAACATATCTTAAGGGATATATGTACATATATAGTATGTTAGGGAACTTAAGTCATACGCTTTTTATTCATAATTTGAATCTCATAATCAAACACCGGTCTTATGAACTTTTTAAAAACACACACCTGGAACTCAAGCTGATAGAGACCACTCCATTATCCTAGCCAACAATATTTATTTATATCCATGACTTTGGTTTCTCATTAAGATCTTCTAACACCAGCATATTTGCCATACTTTTTTTTGCAAAATATTTCATAGTATTTTTTTGGTATCCTTGGCAAATTTCAAATTATTGCCTTTTATGTAGATATGAAAATCGGGCTAATGACCGCTCCAGCATTTTTAGTATTGAAACAAAAAAATCTATAAACCCAATAATCTTTTCTACTTTTCCTCTTTTTTCGTGCGGCTTTTACAGAAATCGGTGGTCTGATTACAGCTTCTATAGCTGGGCATAATTTTTTCAGCTAATTGCTTCGAGAAATAACGAAAATACGTCGAGTCCTTCACTTCACAGCCGTAAATGGTTGGGTTAGGTGGCAGTCCTTTCCTTAGACAAGCTCGTATGACTAAAAGCCCAATTCTGTATCGGTGAAAAAATTTTTTTTACTGAAAAATTTAAACTATTTTATATATTTTTCCGTAAAAAACACTGTGACAAGAATTTGTTACTGATACAGAGCCGTAATATGTTAAAACCAACCAGCGTGGTTTATAACATTAAGTAAGTTGTGGAGAATTATATTAAAAAACATTTTGCCAAGATGTGAATTCACACGCTCTTAGTAGGCTACTCCTGCGCCTCATTAACTATTTCCTTTTCTTTTCAGGATTTATTACTTATAGTCTATGCTCAGCCTTCTGGCCAATGCACAATGAGAACCGCTGCTAGCCTCTCGGCATAAGGTCGAGAGTTTCGCTATATGACCTATAATCCGATTACCTAAGGTTGTGGAGGTGCACGCAGTTCCGATCATTGATTGAGGCTAATCTGGAAACCCGCATCGATAATTACTCCACAACCTCGGTTTTTGAAATGTTGGGATAACTTCTAACTTTTTTAACCTCTTTAACTTTTAGTTCTACTTGATTATACTGGTTCCGTAGCACTTTTAACCAGACCAAGGAATCGTAACTTAAGATCGGCTATACACTATGTACATTCAAAGTAGATACAACTTTTGGCTTAAGCCACCACGTCTTTTCTTTACTCTTTTTTAATCAACTTCAAAAAAAGGAGGAGGTTAAGAATTCGTCGGAATATATGTATATAACTTTGGATAACTTGGCACCACATGAATCGTTTTCGATATTTTTTTTTCGGAAAGGTGGCTCCTCAAGGGTGTTCCCGTATTAATTTGGTTAAGTTCCGCTCATTGGATGATGGAGGAACTAATGGTTCTGGTATCTAGTATGTTTCCTTTAGATAAGCGTAAAATTTTCCCATTTCACTTTGGTAACTCAAAGCTAGGATCTACTACTGGATGCAAAGACAATTAGTTGTCTCATTTTCGTAGTTGTTGTTTCCGACAGGTTAGGGGTGTGATGAAATGTGGAACGATTTTCCGTCATCCCTTGTCAAATTTGGTTTGGAGACAAATCGGTTTCGGCGTTGTGCCTTCTTCAGTGTACCACTCTCCGCCTGAAACAACACACCTTCTTATACTACGAATTCTTGATTCACCTGATCTTTGTGCTACACCTTTCAAACTCATCAATAGGATGGATATTGGCAGAGAAAGCACCGCGCCTTATTGGAAAACACCAATCCGTTTTTCCAAGCACAAAATCGCAATTTTTTAAGAACACTCCACAGTTTTTAGTATAACGTAGAATGCGAGAGTGTCCTTAGGCCCTATTGATTCCAACCATGGCAACCTTTGAGGCACTGTAGCTACTCAACCATAGCAGCTTTGAGAATAGTCTTTTCCACAAGCTGAGAAATAAATATTGGGTGTATGCAGCGTTAGGTATGGAATAATTGTTTTTATTGAGAGCGCACAAAATTTATTTTAAATTTTCTTTTGTACTTATATTTTTTTAGAGTTACATATGTAGATACATACATACATATGTATGTCATGAATGTTTCACTTTTGATATCTTCCTTTAAAATGTACACTCATCCACAACCGTATCGTCCATTCCACCGCCTACATGCAAAATACTCATTCATCTTCACGATGACAGTTTGCACGCTTTAAACGCTCACAAATGCAATCGGAATGCACTTTTAACACACTTGCATACCAACATATTTCTCCCCATAATAATCGATCAACTTCCTTGGCGAACACTCACCTGTATCACACGCATTGGCAGCCCCGTCTCCTTGGCCAATTGTTCCCTAATGTGCCGTGTCGGTTTCGGTGTTTGATTAAATGCCGTTTTCAGTACTTCCAATTGTTTGGCTTTTATCGTCGTTCGCGGGCCGCGTCGCTTCGATCCGTTCGCATCGTCAGGACTCTTATTCTCCGCTTGTGAATCACCACGGCCATCAGGATCGCCATCTAAGGAACCCTGCAAAAAGAAAAGAAACATAAAATAAAATAAAACGAAATGTAATGTAGTGTAATGTGGGAGTAGCGCATGGAAAAGACAGGCAACAAGTGCAGTGCTTCGTATTTTAGTTTATTTTTTTTTCTATATCAAAGCGCATTGCAAGCCAATGGAATTAAGCAATTCGGATGTGTACGCTGCACAATGCAATCAATAGCATATCGATAAATTTGTTAAATAACCATTCGCAAATCATTAATCATCAGCGGCAACATTAGCCAACATTCGAATCCGAGTGGTGGTGAGTGAGTGTCGAGCTGCGAGGGTCAGCAGTGAACGGTCGACGATCGACAAAAAGCGTGCGACGTCATCAGCAGCTTTGCGCAACGCAGCGCGGATAATCATCATTCAACCGTTCCGACGATTTTAGCGGCGTTAAAAAGTCAAAAAGCCAAGTATGTACACATCTTTGTCGGCAACATTAAATATATAAAAAATGAAGCAACCAAAGTAAAAATAAAAAAATAAAACAACTTATCGAAGTTCACAATGAGTTATGCGTAAAAAAAAATTCTGCGCCGTTAACGTGTATGTACAGCCGCAACACGCTTGCAACATTTGCTTATTTCACTTTCATTTTGATGAATTTTTTGTTTTTCTTTTTCTGTGCCTCCCATCTGCTTTACTAATTAATGATTATTACCTGATCGGAATCGTCATGCGTGTTTTTACTATCCGTGCTCATACTTTGTACTGAGATATCGGATGCTCCCAACGGTCCACCCGCAGAGTCTGGGCCATTTGGTCCTAATACGCCCAAGCCGAGCGGTGGCCCGCGCAAATGTGGCGGATCATCGTCGTCTTCGTCTTCGCTCGCGGAACCCATTAATGAATCTGAAATGAATGTAAAAAAAGTAGAATTTTGTTGATTATTAGGAAATTATTTAGCTGAATCAATAGCTGTAGATATGTACTAAGATTGCATGGAAAATGCAAATATATATATATATATATATACGCATGTACATAGAAAACACACACTCCTGTGATTGAAAGTATTTATTTCTAATTGGAAACATATTGATGGCATGAAAAATGTATTTTTAATTCGAAATGTTTTGGGAACCTGAAACGATGCTATTTATTTGTTGCATTGTTTGTTTTTAGTTTGCAGTTGAAAGTTAAAAGTGGGTTATTCAAGATATTAGTGGGGAGAATGCGAAAATTTGGAAACTCTTAGTACAAGTAGATACGAATTAATCGCTACGTATATATTTTTTAGTGAACTCAAAAGCAGGTGAATTTCTTCACGGAAGCTTATTAAATATTTTGATTCCAAACGCCCTTAAAACGTATTTGTTATTAACTTTTTTTTTAGTTTTTTGTGCTTTATTCGGTAAGGATTTTTCTTAAATTAAATGATTTTTGCCACAAATGTGCATTTTTTTAAGTTTCTTATGTTCTTCGGTGTTTTGAATTTTTTCTCTTTATTTTTTAAACACGTTTTAAAGAAAGAACAAGTAATTTTTAGCAAAAAAACCGACTTCAACTCTCATATAAAATATATATATATATATATATATATATATAT